TCCTCCACACAGGGAGGGAGGGTAGGAATTTTCTTTACTTTTAAACAAAGCTTATTGAGTACAGTGCACCACAGAAGGGAAGACTGCTTTTGCACTGAATCGTGGTGCTTTTATAGCTAGACATGTCTATGGGTGTAACCAATAGAAAGGCAACACAGTGCAGATCATGCTTTGATAAGACTGGACAATCTTTTGCAACACTTGACAACATAAAGCATTAAAGAATCTCCCCCAATCTATACTCTTTTTCATAAAAATACAAGAACTGTTTACAAGATTTGTATGCCACATTCCATTAAAATTTTGATTGTTTTACTGTTTACACCGTAAAACAATTTCTTAAATAATAGATTGTAAATGCATGTAGACTGTATGCAACTGATCAGTTTTTTTTTTTTTTTCAGGGATCTGAGTAAGCCTTGTGTTAAAAGGAAGTACTCTAGTAAAGTAAGCAATTTCACTAATGTAGTCAATCATTTCACTAAATTCATTAATTTTCCATAGCACTTTAGTTACATTATATTTCTGTGCTATTAACCATACCGTTGAAACAACAAGATACAACAATGATATGGAGAACAATGCAGTGTACCTGCACATGTACAGATTCCAAACGCACAGAATGCAAATATATGCTACACTGCGTATCACACACATATTATGTCATTATTGTTCTATAATAGACTTAATCCATATAGTACACGTTCTAATTGGCTGAAACAGTGTGCTTTTAGCAGAGAACAAATGCATGGTAAGCTGAAGGTATGAAGGCTGGCCATATCACAGCGTCTTTTCATATGTGTATCATGTCAGATATGTGAAAAGACACTGATATAGCTTACCATCATAGAAAACACACCCTACTTAACAGCCAACTTACAGAAAGTTTTGTCTCAACAAAGGTTTTTTTGTCTGCAGGAATGACATAGAACAAACTGAAAAAATAGTAACAAAACATCAAATACCATTATCAAAGAGTGCGCTACTCTGTAATGTGCTTATCATACTTATCATGACTGATAAAAAAAAAAACAATGAGTGCAGTTGAACTGGGGTCGTGAGAAGACTTGCCTTTTGATTCAATTAGTGAGCAAAATTTTGTGCAGCTGGTTCAAGATTCTATGAGCAAAACTGTCATACAATGACAGTTTTGCTCATAGAATCTTGAACTAGCTGCGTAAAGATTGGCTAAACCATGCAAAGCAAAACAGTTCAGGTTTTAAAGCAGCAGCTTGAGGGTAGAATGTGTCACCTGAACATGCTGCTGACCACCATTGCCGGGTTAGCAAGCTATAGGCAATTATATTAAAGATAAAGAATAAAGAAGCATTGTGTGGCAAGCTCATAATGGCTGCAAAGGAGACTGGTAAGAAAGGTGAACTACATACATGTCCTTCCCTTGATTTCATTTCTGATTGAAATAACAGCCAGGGTTAGTGGAGCTGAGTAGTAAATAACTCTTCTTTAATTTTTTCTTCTTTGACTTCAGTGGAGGATTTGTTCTGACAAAAGAAGTTCTTCATCAGAAGATTCAGGCTGTTGCAACACTTCTGCCACCCAAACAGGCAGGAAGCTACAGGATGACAAAAGCTGCGATCTAATGCCCGATGGAGCTTATGAGCTGATGCAATGTTCTGAAGCACCCAAAGAAGATGAAATAGTTTGGTGTGCAAGTGATGATGAAGGTAACTTTCAAACAACCAGAAATTAACCACATGCATGTTTACTAGGTCTGCCATTTCCATTTCATAGGATAAAAAGTAGGTTTTTAGAAGTTAAATACATTGTTTTCATCTTTTTTTTTTTCATCTTTACATTGTTGTCACCTTCCCAAGAAGGTGACAACAATGTAAAGTTAACAGTGAGATAAATTAGTATAGAGCGGTTTTCAATAACTGAGTGTCGTAAAACCAAAATCAAAGTAATCACTCCAGCCAATCACAAAGGACAGAGATGCTACAGTGAACCAATCAAAACCCAGAGTAATTACATGTAGCTGATGCAAAAACGAGTGTGAGTGAGTCACAATTGGTTTTGATTTCACTTATGATTGTATGAAAAAGTGGCGCAAGTTCTTTTAGTGCAAGTAAGTGTAGAACCAATTACTTTTCACTCAAGAGAAAACTGCTCTAATTTTGTAGTGGTTAGTTTTTCAGCTACTAGCAGGGAGTGGTTAGTGATATGCAGCTATTCTGATGTTCCTGGTGTTGTACATGTACATGTTCTTGAACTTGATTTGGTCACAGTAGAAAAATTGTTCTTTCATACACTTACAGCTGTAAGTTAATTTCATCAATGTCAACCTTAGCACATGCATGGTATGTAATCCATGCCTTTTGCGATCCACAGAACATGTGCGCACTAACAAGAGTAGGCGTCATCGTTGTACTTGCTGGCTGGGAGGTCCGTATAGTAGGAAACTTTGATCAAGGTCTTGAAAATGCTGTCTGAGGTCACTGTTTTTCACTATATAGACTGACCTTAAGCCAGTAAACAATTTAATTCTTTATCTCTAAAATCACTTTTAAAAACTCGGGAAAGCATTACCATGACTGTGTGCAGAGATAGGAACTCTGGGCCATGCTAAGAACCAATTATATTGTAGGATTAATTTCCCCACTCTGAAATATTCTGATTTTCAGAGTTGCCTGGCATTGTTTTCTATGAGAGAGCAGAGAGTGAAGATACTGATTCTGTAGCAAAGGTTCTGACAAAGCATCCAATGACAAAAGCTTGTCAAGGAGAAGCATTAACAAACGAGACATTAAACAGCATCAAGCCCTCTGTAAGTATGTGTACTTCAGCAAAAATATAGTATGATAACAGTAACTATTTCTGACACATTTTCTCCTTTTTAATCATGGTGCTGTCAATCTTGTATGAATGATCTAATTGTAACCCTTCATTTAGTCAAAGATTAAGTCAGCACATCAGTAGTCAATATCACTGTTGCTGGAATTCAAAATGGCTGCATTCACATTTATGTGGAAACAGCATCTAGATACAGGATAATGTGGATGGTCAATCAACATGTGTCAATTTCTGTTAATAATAATTATTAAGTTGTCTGTAGTAGGAGCTAAGTTCTAAACTGTGTACAGTCCTAATTACTTCATAAAGTGCACATGGAATGAAGCGCTCAAGCAATACTGTATACTCTAGTAGCACTAAAGAGGCCTGACAATATGGGTTTTAAGTGATTAAGTAATTTGATAAAGTTAATTTATTGCAATAATTAATTTTCTTATTAATTTTTGCCACTAAAACTAGTTAATTTTATTTCAGAGAGAGTGTGACGTATTCCAAACACATATGGTGAAATTGTATCAGACAGGTTCCAAAAAAATTCGCGAGAGCTTGGACGAAATTACAAAGGCACTGCAATACATGGTATTCACAGTGATTCTGCTGGAATATTGGACTATTCACAAAATTAGAAACTAGAAAAAAGAGCCTAGAAAAGAAGTCCGGAAATCATTTAGTTCATCTCATTGTCTGGTATTTTGTTACATGTGGGTAACAATTTTCAGATCAAAGTTTTAATAATTTGGAATGTTGACCACTGACCATTTTTTGCTTTTTAAAGGGAGAGCTGATAAGTGATTTTCAGTCAGATCATGAGAGTTCACAGGTTTGTTGAAATTTTGGTGTAAAGAGTTCTTCATAATCTTACAGTTTAAGTGCCATTTTTCGTCTTTAATGATTTAAGTTATATAGTGCTAAATTAGTCCCCCCCCCCTCCCACACCCTTAGTCTTAAGGATTTGTACCCCTATACCAATAGGTGCTGCTATTTTGTGGCAATTACTGCTATTTCCTTCAACTTTTCATGTCATTCCCACATTACAAAATAAGTGATCTTCTAAGTAGCTTGACTGTTGTTTACATGTACAATTCCTTAATAGAAATTAGTGTTGCATCCCTTTTAGGAAATGGCCTTTGAGCTACCAAAATAAAAACAAAAATCTTAGGTACTAAGTAGAATCAGTACAGTAAGCATTGCTTGATAAATTAAAAGTAAATAATACTTGTGAAATGTCAGTCACTCTTTTATACATCACATACCACATGCTTTTTCTTCTTCATGTACATCTACCTTTTTAACATTAACTGCATCTATACTAATTAACAATTAGATTATGA